TGAAAAATGACAATAGTAAGCCTGTGTCTTACTATAGCACTGCTGGACAGAGGCATCTTACATTGTTGGGGCGATTTTCATTAACCTCGTGGCGGACTTCGTGAACGTAGTATCTAATGAATATTACGTTTAAAATTGCCTTTCGTCCTGATCAAGATATTTCACATCTTACATCTACAAAGACTTTCTTCTGAGGCACTCTTTTGGAGCGACTTTTGTGTTCTTTTTTTGCACCCAGAAGCAATGAAAAGGGCTATCCTCCAGGAAGCGGGGAAGGGAGGTGGTGAATGCTCTAAGCATACCACGACAGCCGGCTGCCATGGTTATGTGGGACTCACTGCGAAACGTAAGTGCCTACCTACTAAACACCACTTGTGAGACTGGCATTGACTTGTGTGGCCTTTCTCGCACAATATCCGAACAATCGAGGTAGACAACTGAAAGAGAGAACTGCATCTACGACTGATTGCATTTATGGAAAATTATTAACGAAATAATCATTTCGCACTTCCTCCCAAACTGACCGATTTTAATCTTTTTTTAAAACAATATAGGAAGGATTGTAACTATGTTTGTATATTTTTCTTTGATTTTTTTATATACTCGTAGGTTTGCTGAATAATAGTCTAATAATAAAATCTTAAAAAAGTTATTTTATCCTGTGTGATCCAGGGAAAAAACAGAGAAATATGTTTGTATTGGACTAAACGCCGACTGGATATCATTTTAAAGTCACCTAAGACAAAATATTTAATTAAAATATTTTCGCACTAGTCCAACTTATTTCATATATCCAAGAATGCTCATTGAAAAAAAATAAGATAAGAAAGTATAAAATATAATAAGCCAAATAAAAAAATAATAAGGTTTATTCAATCAACAAAACGGTTAATTTTGTGTTTAAGAAACACAAAATTAATTCTTGCTAATAGAGAGAGCCTGTACACTTTCCGGGACCTTGTTGTAATAGCGTACACATTGCCCCAAGAATGAATTACTGACTCTGTGGAGTGGAGAAACTGGTATCACTAGTTTGTCTTTGTTCCTAGTGTTTACAGAATGTATATCACTTTTTTTACTAAAACTACCTTTGTTTTTGTGAACATACATTAAATATTCGTAAATATACTGAGAGGCAAAGTTAATATATTTATTTCTTTAAATTTATCTCTAAGAGACTCTCTCAGTTTTAGATTGTAAATAGCTATAATGGCCCTCTTCTGTAAAACAAAAATAGTTTCTGAATCAGCCGCATTTCCCCATAGCTGAATCCCATAAGACATTATGCTATAGAAATCACTGAAATAAACTAATTTAGCTGTCTCGCCACTAGTGAGACCTCTAATCTTTTTTACAGAATAGGCTGCAGAACTTAGTCTGCTTGCTAGTTTGGATATATGGGGGCCCCACTGAAGCTTTGCGTTGAGAGTGATGCCAAGAAAAACAGTGGATTCAACAGGGCTCAGTTCTTCCCCATTAAAAAACATATTGGTACTCAGATTTTTAACATTCGTTGTTGCAAATTTAATAAATTTAGTTTTAATTCCGTTTAAATGTAGATTATTAACGTTAAACCAATGCACTAATTTTGATATAGCATTATTCACTTCGTCACATTTAAATGATTGACCTTTAAGTTTAAAAATCAAGGAAGTATCATCAGCAAATAATACTATATCATGATTATCCTCTACAAAAGAAGGATAAGAGAAAAGTGTGGCTTGCATAGAGATGTTGTGACCAAGATTAAGAAAGGAATGCTTCGGTGTAGAAATAATGAATGAGAAAAGAGTAACAAAGCAAATTTTTAGAGGCAGAGTAGGCAAAAGTAATCTTGACATAATTTTTCGACCAAATTGCGATGTATTTAAGCTAGGTCAAATTAAAAGTACCCTTAACTGACTTGTGCTAAATGGAAATCCATCCATCTCTGCCTACCTCTCTGGGTGACAGGCGTGAGTGTTTATGAATATGAATATTTTTAGATGGCGTTGGGGCGGTGTAAGAGAATCTACCATTCCATATATCCGTCCATCTTAAAATCCTCCCTTAAAAAGAATGAAAGAGTCGTCTTGGTTGCTAATAATAATGGTCTTCCTCTATATATTAGCAACCTATTGAAAGCCAAGAGAGCTGATTTCCGGAGAGCAGCACTCTATCCCACCCCCGACTGTAGGCGTACGGCCAAACGTCTTCAACGAGAAGTCCGTTCACGCCTCTCCGAACTTCGAGACCTCGAAAAGAGTAATCTCATGGAGAATATCTCTCCTTATCATACAGCGTACTATCAGATGGCGAGAGCCCTTCGTATAGACGCTATCACTCACACTTCCCCTCTCTCCCGTCCCGACGGTACTATTGCCTTCGAGGACGAGGAAAAGGCTGGGTGCTTTGCAGACAGCATCGCCGCTCAATGCTCTGCTAGCTCTCAACCCACTGACCCCTCCCATATCCAGACAGTGGAGAATGAGGTCCGCCGGGGGAACTCACCCCCCATAGACTCTGACCCTATCACTGTGTCCAATGACGAGATTTCATCCATCATCACGGGACTGAAGCCCAAAAAGGCCTCGGACGCGGATGGCATCTCCAACCAAGCCCTCAAACATTTTTATGAGCAGGTGATAACCCTATTAGCTATTATCTTCAACACCTGCTTCAGCCTTAGTAACTTTCCTACCATGTGGAAAGAGGCAACCGTCATTGGTATCCCCAAGCCAGGAAAGCCTCACAACCTTCCCTTCAGTCACCATCCCATCAGCCTCCTCAAGGCCATGGACAAACTCTTTGAACGAGTCATCCTTATTTGCATGAGGCTCCATCTGTTTCCCACAGACGACGACCCTCTTTCTCATCCCCCACCAATTAGGTTTCCGAGCGAAACACTGTTGTCCCCAACAAGTTCACCGTATTGTGGAATATATCCTCAGCGATTTTCATCCTCGTCGTCATAAGACCATCGCGGTTTTTTCGACATAGCAAAGGCATTCTATAGAGTCTAGCACAAAGGCCTTATCTACAAACTCTACAAAATAGGCCTCCCTGATCGTATTGTTCGTCTCGTGGTCTCCTACCTGAAGGATCGTATCTTTCATTTTAGACACGAAGGCACGCTGTACTCTCAACGTCCTATCATAGCCGGTGTTCCTCAGGGCTCAGTGCTTGCCCCTTTGCTATATATTCTGTTCACCAACAACATTCCCATGCCGTCGAACGGTGTTCAGCTCTCACTCTTTGCAGACGACACTGCCCTCTACTGTAAAGGTATCTCACTATCTTCCATACGGAACAATATCCAAAAGTCAGTTAATGACTTAGGAGCTTGGTTCCAAATATGGCATATCGATGTGAACCCGGAGAAGAGCTCCGCCGTTCACTTCGGGCATAAACGACGCCGCCTCACTACCATTTCGCCAATCCATACGCTAGGGACCCCTGTCCCCTGGCATACGACCGCCAAATACTTAGGTGTCACCCTTGGCAAGAGGCTCACCGTCGGGCCCTATGTCAAAAAAGTAACTCGCAATGCGCGCTTTTATCGGAGTAGGCTCAACAGTATGCTGGACCGCCACGGTAAAATGGGTCTGCGTAACAAGCAAACCCTTTATAAGGTCTGTATATGACCAGTTATGACTTACGCGGGCCCCATATTTGCTCACGCTAATCCCAAAATCATTAACGAACTCCAAATAGTTCAAAACAACTTCTGTCGTCAAGCTACGAACGCACCAGGCCCGTAACGCCGACCTCCACCGAGACTTAGAGCTCCTCACAGTCTAACAGTTACCAAAATCACTCTCTGCGAAGTTCTTCAAAGCCTCAGTATTTCATCCCAATCATCTCATTCGTGAAGCAGCTTCCTATGCAGCCCCATTTCCCTCTCGCTATCGAGTCCGAAGACCGAGGAACTCTCTCTTGGATCCTGCAAACAAGCTTTCGGCTGACCTAAACCGCCTCCTGGCGGCTCAGGCCGAATCTTCTCCCCGCCCTTAATTTGCCTTATTAAGGCTCACCTCTCAGCGGATCCTCGCTGCCTGCGCCCCCTTTTCCCTAAATAGGGTCGCTTCCGATTCGATTGTAAGAGTAATATTATGTACTACAAATGTTTATTAAAAATAAGGCACCGATATAATAATAGCTGTAGCTGTGACAACACTGTGAAAGCGTTTAGTTGAGTATATTTGTGCATTTTTTTTGTTTTTATTTGAACTTCGGGTTGTGTGTGACAAATAAATCATTTAATCATTTATTAAACTCCTAGTATTCAAAATTCTTGTCACCCGGATTTCTTCCTCTCAAATTTGCACATTAATCAGCACAACTTCCCCAGTGTATTACGCACTATACACCTTTAGTTCTATATAAAATAAGCCTTTATATGTGTAAGGTTTTATTATAGAAATGGTGGGTAATTGTGGAAACTGTAATAACACGTTTGGAGAATAAACCAGTCAGCCGCGCAGTCCTGTGTTTGATTGACGCCTTTCCTTGGGTCTTTACACTGGCGACGAGTGGGTACCGCGAATATTATTTGGGGCGTGTAAACTATATACGTGACGAGTAAATTATATGTAAATAGGTACTATGCCGATCGGAAAACTTGAGCCGTTCAACATTCATGCTACACAGTGGCCGGAGTACATACGACGGGTAAAACAGTATATTATACTGAACGAAATTAAAGATGAACTGCAAGTACCTCTCTTAATAACTGTGGTTGGTGAGGCAACGTATTCTCTAATGTGTGATTTGTGCTCGCCGGTACATCCCGAATCAAAGACTTTCGAGGATTTGGTGCAATTGTTGACCGAACATTTTGAACCTCAGCGGTCGGAAATCGCCGAACGACACGTATTTCGGTTGCGCAGACAACGACCAAGCGAGTCACTCTTACGGAGTACCTGCATAATTTAAAACATCTCGCAACCACCTGTAACTTCGGGAAGGCGCTGGAGGAGAATCTATGAGATCAATTCGTGTCCGGCCTAGCGAGTGAAGCGATGCGATCGCGTATATTTGCCGAGAAAAATATCAAATACAAAGAGGCGGTCGAGCTGGCTCTGGCACTTGAGGCTGCAGAAAAGCACGCGGAGGTGAGCGCCGCTACAACAGCGATGGCGTCTACCTCGGCCTCTGGCTTGGGCGGCGAGGTGAGCGAGGGCTTGCACCGGGCGAGCGCGCAACGAGCAGGCGCACGCGGCGGCAGCGGCGGCGGCGCGGCGGCCTGCTGGCGCTGCGGCAAGCAGCACCGGTCAGATCGGTGTCGGTTTGCGCAATATAATTGTGATCAGTGCGGCCAACGGGGCCACCTTAAAGTAATGTGTAAAAAGGTGTTCAGTGAAGTGCGCAGTGGGCTACGTACCGGAGCTCGATCGTGTGGTCGACCAAATTTGGTGAACCAGGTGGATACGGAAGAAGATGAGGACTTCTATAACATTAAGTTGTCGGCTAAAGGTACCACACCATATTTCATTATAATTAATGTGGACGGTCATCGTCTAGAGTGTGAGGTCGATACGGGCAGCCGTATTTCGGCTATCAGTGCAGATTTTTATAAACGGTACTTTTCAAATAAATCATTAAATGTCGATAACCTAATATTACGTTGCTACTCGGGCTCCCGTATCGAATCGCTAGGTTACATTTATGTCGAAGTACAACTGGGTGAGACTCGAGCTAAAAATTTACAACTGTATGTTATTAAAAACGGAGGCCGTCCTTTGTTAGGTCGAGCATGGATGCACGCTCTAAATATAAGGCAAATTAACTTTAATGAAATTGTTGATGATGCATTCACGAGTCAATTATTGACTGAGTTTCCGGAGGTGTTTTCTGATAAACTGGGTACTTGTAAAAAGACTATTCAATTAGAGCTGACGGATAAGGAACCCGTGTATGTTCGCGCGAGGCCCGTACCTCTCGCGTTGCGCGCGCGGCGAGCAAGAGCTCATACGTCTCGAGCGAGAGGGCACTATTTATCGCGTCGATCATTCTGAATATGGCACGCCGATAGTACCAGTTGTCAAGGAGTGTGGGGATATACGGATATGTGGGGATTACAAAATAACTATTAACCCTAAACTAAAACGGGACTATTATCCTCTGCCCAGGATTGAGGAATTATTTGCTTCCCTAAGTGGTGGAGTGAAATTTTCGAAAATTGACTTGAGACATTCATATCAACAAGTGTTACTGAGCAAAGATTCCCAACCATACACTGCAATAACGACACATATAGGAACATTCGTATATCGCCGCACTCCCTTCGGCTTATCCTGTATTCCCGAAAAGTTTCAAAAACTTATGGAAGAAACGCTGCGGGGTATCCCCGGGACAGTAGTATTTTTGGATGACATTTGTGTTACAGGCCCGAATGAAGAATTACATTTTAAAAATCTAAAAACGGTAATTGAACGGTTGCGTAATATGGGCTTAACAGTTAAAATGAATAAATGTAGTTTTTTACAACCCAGGGTTAAGTACCTAGGTTTTATAATAGACAAAAATGGGTTGCACCCGGATCCGGAAAAATTAGAGGCCATCTGCAACTCACCGACTCCTAGTAATATAACTCAGTTAAAAAGTTTCCTTGGATTATTAAATTACTACGGAAAATTTATTCAAAATTTAAGCGCTCTGTTACATCCTCTATATGAATTATTAAAAAAAGAAGTGAGTTGGAAATGGGACTCAAAGTGTGAGCGGGCCTTTGCAGAGGCTAAGCGAGTGTTAACGAGTGACCGGGTGCTGGCTCATTATGAGGAGGGGCGTCCGCTCGTGCTGGCAGTGGACAGCAGCGCGTACGGTTTGGGTGCGGTGCTCGCGCACCGCTACCCAGATGGCAGTGAAAGGCCTGTCAGCTGTGTTTCACGAACTCTGAACACAGCTGAACGTAATTATAGTCAATTAGATAAAGAAGCGCTAGCTATATTTTATGGGGTTACTAAACACCACCAGTATTTATACGGCAGGAGGTTCGTTTTGCGTACGGATCACCAGCCGCTGAGCTATATATTTGGGGTGCGAGGAGGTATACCACAAACTGCTGCGAGCCGCTTACAGCGCTTGGCAGCCCGTCTTGCAGCCTATGATTTTTCCGTAGAATTCGTGCCTTCAAAGAATAACGGGCCGGCAGATGCCTTATCTCGCCTGCCGTTGCCTCACGAGCGGGGCCTTGCTACGTCAGTGAGTTATTTAAATATCGTAGAGGAGTGTATGCCCGTAGATTTTAAGGAAATTAGTTATGAAACAAAAAAAGATAATCTGTTATGTAAAATTTTAGGATATGTAATGTTCGGTTGGCCGCCCGAGGCGAGATGCGAAGAAGAAAAACCGTATTTTGCGCGTAAGAGCGAGATCACTACGGATCTCGGTTGCTTACTATTCAAGTATAGACTTATTATACCTCCAAAACTACGTACACGAGTTTTGGAGGAGATTCACGATGGCCACTTAGGTGTTAATAAAATGAAAAATTTGTCGAGAAACTACGTTTACTGGCCTAGTCTCGATAAGGATCTAGAGGAGGTATGTCGAAATTGCGAGCCATGCCGAGTGGTCCGCGACGCGCCACCGCACGCTTCGATTCACCCGTGGGAGTTTCCACTTCAGCCCTGGCATCGTATACATGCGGATTTCGCGGAATATGCTGGAAAAAAATATCTGGTCATAGTGGACGCTCATTGTAAATGGATTGAAGTGTCCACTATGAATAGTACAAATGCACAATCGACAATCGCAGCTTTCAGAGCCATCTTTTCCAGATTCGGGCTTCCTTCGCAACTCGTCACGGACAACGGTCCACCTTTTTTATCGCACGATTTCAAAAATTACTGTAATATGAATTGTATCAAACATGTTACCACGGCACCCTACAGACCACAAGGTAATGGCGCCGCGGAAAATGCTGTCAAAACAATTAAAAAAGTTATTAAAAGGGCGGTTCACGAAGGTAAAAATGTGACACAGGCTATCAACATATTTTTATTTAAGTATCGGAATTGCGAACACGCGAGTACAGGAGTGCCTCCCGCGGTCGCCTTGCTCGGGCGGCGGCTGCGCGGACGCTTGGACGCGATGCGCCCGGACGTTGCAAGCGTCGCGCGCGCCGCGCAGCAGCGCCAGGCGGCCGCGGCCGGCGGCACTCACCGCAACCACGACCTACAACCCGGTGATCCCGTGCTGACTCGTGACTATACCGCGAGGGGAGAAAAGTGGGCCGAGGGTAAAGTCGTGTGTAAAACGGGCCCAGTCTCATGTAAGGTGAACATTGGAAAGGGAATTGAATTACGTAGGCATCTGGATCAAGTAATTCCAATAAAAAATAAAAATAGATATTCCTTAACGCGCACAAGTCAGACATCAAGGGAGGAGGAATCCCAGGGTGAAGATAGGAATGGTAATAAAACTGATGTGGTCTGTAGTGATGACGAGGGGGCTTGTTTCGAGGACGCGTCGGGTGGGCCGACAGCATCGAGGACACGCGCGTCAGCGCCCTTCTCTGAACCTATCCAGTCCCCGACACTGACGCCGCCCGGACCCGACGCGTCTTCGCGAGCTTTGCGTGCTTTTAACCGTAATAAGAGAAATGCAAAGATTTGAAGGGGGAAAATGTAAGGTTTTATTATAGAAATGGTGGGTAATTGTGGAAACTGTAATAACACGTTTGGAGAATAAACCAGTCAGCCGCGCAGTCCTGTGTTTGATTGACGCCTTTCCTTGGGTCTTTACAATATGGATTGGTAGTTTATTAGAAATTACAATATTGTAATTGTTCCTCTATTTTTTTCTGCTGAGACCTCTTTTCGTAAGGATTACAGATACACAAAATTAAACTACGAATAGCTTTATGTTCATCCCCTAAGCATTTATGAACATAATATAATTGTAAAAAACATAAGACGCTGTACCCGTATTTCAAAGTCACAAGACTTTGTCTTTGTTAAAATGGGAAAATTTGTTCGTCTTTAAAGTTGGCGTATACAAAAAATGGCTTGTCCAAAAATAAACGAAGTTAAGAACAAACCTGTTAAGATCACGACCAAGAATCTTAATCTTTTGCTTTGACTTGAGCTTTTAGAGTTTGTCGAAAATTTCCCTAAATAGCTTTTTTAAAATTCTGGCGTTTACTTATACAAAAATGCAGGATTTATCGTAGTTAAAGTCGATAAAAGGAAAATCGTGATCTTGCAGTTTACAAAGATGCTAAATTTTCCAAATCTAAAATAAATATACAATCCCGTATGTACAAATCTGATTTAACATATAAAACAGGCTACTAAAGGCAGCGCCAAAAATACGAAAGATCAAGTACTGCAATTGTCTACGCACTTACTAATCGTGGCGGTAATGGCAATTACTTTCCATTTGGAGATGGGTCCAGGTTCACTAGTGAAATTTTAACAGGCTAAGTAGAAGAATCTGTCTTTTAAAGTTTTTAATTTAAAAAAATGATGACGTAAACGTAACAAAAGATTATTTTCATGTCATTTTTATAATATATTCAAGATTTGAATGATAATAAATGATTTTACAATTAAGAATTATTTGTTTATTCAGCTATTAGTACCTTTAATAGTGTTACATATGTAGGTTGTAAATGTCATTGTATCTAAAATAAAAGCAATATAAATTATACAGATTTCATGGGTTTTACACCAATACCAATGTAAAGTAGAATAAAAGGACAATCTTAATTTGTAAAATGTTTCCATTAGTAAGACGAATTAGCACTGATTGTTACTAAAACTTAATTTGTTAACCTATCAACAAGGACTAGGTATTAGTTCAAGCTTTATAAATTAAGCTCATTTTTCGACCCTTATAATCCGCCTTAGTAATTTAATTCCCTAGAACCGGTGGCCTCCCTAAGCAGACATTAGGATTAACAAAGTTGTCTCTTTCTACTGTAATGAGATCTATTTGGGAGCGTTTTTATGCTACGGTTATTTTAAACACAAGTATAATAATTAGTACTAGTTTACTACTATTACTACTACTATTAGGTTGAAAAAATAAATGATTATGATAGTTTGTGTTGTGAGTATGAAACCAATTTTATTAAGGTTATTTATAAAATTTTATTCGTCTTTACTATTTAAAATAATTTTTCAGAATAGCCAAAAATTAAAGTTATACAATTATGCATTTTGCTGCTGAACTAGGCATCATCTCATTTCTAAGAGAGTTTTAAGGGCAAAAAAGGTGACTGTCGGAATTGCATTCTTTTAATTTCTTAGACATGCAATTTTCTTGAAAGAAAGACAGATCATATTTATTGATTGCTGGAATTTACTTTTACTAATCAGCAGTTCAAGAACGTCTTTTTGGCGGAAGAAATAGGCGAAAAGTGGAAGGATGATACGTGAGGCTATTGAAATTAAAAACATCCTATTTTCAATACAGAAAGAGGTTTGGGATCCTGTAATTAACAAAATTAAAACTATACCTAAGCATCACTGCAGGACTTCAAGACAGTAAGCTCATTCTGCGTAGATCGGATCAAAAGAAATTATACACGTATAATATTAAAACGAAAATAACAAAAATAATTAATAGAATCAGGTATTACTTTGCGGAATTCGGGGACGTCTTTTGCTATTCAAACTAGGTGAAATACATAATCTTTAATTTACATGGATCTTAGTTAAATAATTTTAAGATCTTTAATGATAACAAAAAATTTAAAAATAATAGATACTAATTGCTCCTTGTGTAGTCCTATAAAAGTAGTAGTATCATAGTTTCCTAGTCATGAAGAATTCCATACAATTTTACACCTAAGCAGCCATTTATATACAAATTTTTTTGTTGGTTTGTATTTTATGCCCTGTCATATCGTTCATGAGATTGCGGAAAACATTGTCAATTAATTGCTAGCATGCACTTGTGCGAAGGTTATAAGCAATTAACTTACAGTAGGTTACTGTAACGGTGGTAGAGCCACGCGGCAGTTTTTACTGTTGCAGGTATGGGCCGGCTCGAGCCGGGTTGGTAC